CATTACGCGCTGGCTCCATTACCGCTGGCTGCTTCCCAAACAAACACACGTGCGGCTTGGCACTTGTGCTGTACGTAACAAGTCACGCGACGTGACGCTGCGGCTGTGATTGGTTCGGCTCTGCGCTACTTAATTTGGATTGGCTGACCTTTTTTTTTTTTTTTTTTTTTTTTAAAGAGGACAAGAGCGGCGAGTCTATCGCGATAGCTTAATTTCTCTATCGAGTAAAAGTTATATCGCGATACATATCGTTATCGTTCTATCGCCCAGCTCTAGATGGTATCAATATATGGATATAATTATATCGTTATCGCCTGAAATGAAAAAAACATATCGTGATATGAAAAAAATCTCATATCGCCCAGCTCTAATACCATCTCTCATTATTTAGTGCAAGGTTATTATAGCTAACTAGAACTAAAACTAGTGTAAAAACATCCATGCTTTAAAAAAAAAAAAAAAAAAAGGGCACGGGGAATAACCAAAATGACTTTCTCTGCACACAAAGGTAAAATAAAAAAAATATAGAGGGCAAGTATTTAGTTTTATGAAGACTGTTCAATTTCAACAGCTAGTAATGCCAAATGATGCCTGCAAAATATTTTTGAAGCACAATGACTAATTTTGATGCTGATGTTCAGCTGCTTTTAAAAGCTTACTCATTAAACAGTCTAGACCATCTGCGTCACATGCTGATGATGTCTTTGGTGTGAGACAGGTGGTTAGGCAGTTTTAGGTGATGTCAAAGGTTTCTGCAGCACTCTCCAAGGCAGGTTGAAACCAGCACAAGCTGTATGCAAAAACTGTCTGGATATTCAAATGAGGACATTTAACGTCCTTTAACCTCCCTGCTCTTAATCTCTTAAATCAACTTGCCTCCTTTTTACCTCATTGTTCTTGCTGTCCTTTTACCTTACTCTGCTTTCCAGCTCTATCAACCTCTCATCTTTATTATATTCTTCCTTTGTCCTCACCATTTTCCACCATCAAATACTTCTCTTCACTTCTTCGACATCTTCAGCCATGAAGCTTCGCTCGATTCTCTTACACTCTGGATTTTTTTTTAACTCTTTCTTGCCTTTTAGAGCAAAGCAACAATACCGCTTCCTCCTCCTGCTCCTCACTATGAACGTCGTCATCCCCAGTGTCTGATGGCATCAGTTATTCTTTCCACCTTTTATCTTTTATTTTTATTCCATTTCCAGAGTTTACACGTCACATTTTCTGTCTCAACTGTCTTCTCTTTACAAATCTCTCTACTTCTCCTCTTAATGCATTTTTCCATTATCCATCTTTTTTTAAATACAGTAAACACAGCTGAGTCATAGAGATGATGACTTTAACCCATCACTCACATCCTCTTCCTCCTCCTCTATTACCAGAGCAACACAAGGATGTTTAAGTTTATCAACCACGCAAGATTTGTTTAATCTCTCTTCATTTCCTTGCCATGTACCCTCTTCTGTATCTACATTTTGTTATAAATTAAGTTTATATTTCTCGTGTTAAAGAAAGCATAAACACAAAGCAAGTATAAAATGTATAAATATAAGGCTGGTGAGGTGGCAGAGGCAAACGTTAGAGGGCAGAACGTAGAACCAATAATACAATAACATAACAATTTCCTAAAATTAACTATTAAAGTCTAGTTAACAATCACTGATTACAATGCATTATGGAAAATAAATGGTACAGAAATAAAAGATGAGACTACCTTTTAGAAACTGAAGTAACTTCTACTATCCTGATTTGCATCTGTATAGCTCACAGAATGGCTATTTACATGTAAAAACCTCCTCTAGGCCTAAGGGGCTGAGGCAGTGACCTTCTTGTGCTTGGAAAATTACCAGAAATTCAAATTTCATGGCAATGTCTGACATTTCCTCGACATCTTCTGCGCTGCCAACAAACGCCCGTGAAAAACAGCAGTTTGAAAGTGCTGTTTACTGATGAAAACACTTGTAATGCAGTGAATCATTGCAACTTCTACAACTTAACCTCTACTCAACCGAACATGTTTTTAGGTAGTAGATGACATGTACTGCAACTTTTAAAATGTGAAAACAAGTAAAACTCGAGCTATGAACTAGTGTTGACAATAAAAGACATGACATCAATTTTCTAAAACACTTAAAATCACCTTTATGTCTTATTTATGTTTCCCCAATACTCTTCCCATCATCTGCCTCTCTCCCACACGCGCGCACACACACACACACACGCACACCAGTTGTAGATTCCCTATCCGAAAGTGGTTAAGCACCACATAATGATAGACTGTACACATTCACACACAGAGAATCATATGGGATGAGATGATTAGTGAAGGAACAGATGTTTACCGTTATGAGGTCTTCCTTTAATTCAAACATACATCAGCAAAAACAGACTACAAAAATGAGCCTGTGAGGAGGAGGAGGAGGCAAAAGATGATTGCACAGCGAGGAAAACTGCTAAAAATACAGGAGCTCAACATACTTTCATGTAGGTGTAACTATGATACAACAATATCAATGTCTGGACTATGATCGTGCAGAAAAAATCCAATACTGCAAAGCTTCACTGGGAACAAGATTGAACAAAAAACAACATCTTCAATACAGCTAATCCATAAAATGACAAAACGCGGTGGGCTTTATTTCTGTTTAAGACTCCTTGTACCAACAAATGGCTCAGCAGTTAGTCTCTCAGTCTGTCCCTACTTATTATATGGTGTCTACACACACAGAGAGCACTGTACAGCAGGATAATTATAATGTGAAGCCCTGATTGGTGACTGTTTTGGTGCATTGTGCAGGGGAGGGAAAAAAAAAAAAAATGCTCTCATGTGCGTGTGTGTGTGCTCTGTGATTACGTGGTGACAACATGTGAAGCTGTGGTTCAGTCTCTGTCTTTGAGTTGCTTTTGCTTACTTGTTTACTTATGGTCTCTCACAGCTTTGCAATTCTCATAGAGAGCGTACAGTTCATTCAAACCTCAATTTCAATTTTTGCAGCCTTGTCCATCATTTCTATAAACAATTACTGCATTGGACAAGCTTATTTCAAAGAGAACTTTATAATACTTTCAGTGTTACAGTAAAACATGGGATGATTAGAAACACTGCCAGCCTTGTCTATATGCTTGTCACTTTCAAACTGACCTACATTCAGAGAAGCTACATTTTTAGCATCAACTTGATTAAAGCTTTTTAGCTTTAGATAAAAATTTCCCGCATAACAGCACCAGCTCAGGGCGGATACGTGAGATCTGTAACTTTACATATTCAGCACAGCGTTATCATTACAAGTAGAAAGCACAGCTGAAACCATAGACCCAAGCTGTAATTAACCCAAACTTTTCTTCAAATGCTCTGACTTTCTACTGATCTTTTAGACTGCCTGAAACTAATGTGGTCAGTCATTTTGAGCTCAGAAGTCAGAATAAAGGGAATGTTGCAGAAAAAAGACAGAAAACAGAATTAAGGCCCAAAAAGGAATAGGAGTAGCAGAAACGTGTTCAGGGATGTTAAATTCACAGGCATCACTGTTTACCCTGGGCGGGTCTGCACTTGTGATGTGTGCTCAAACTATTTTTCTATCTTTGCATTTGCCCATTGGATTTTGTAGAGCCACAGGACAGAGAAGATATTTGTATAGAGGCCTTGAGGTTGCATTTCAATCTTCGTGTATGCACGCATGTTTATGAATGCAAGCGTGTGCATTTGTGGCATTTCTTTTTTGTTTTGTTTTTTAAATTTCTTTCTTTCTAGCATACAAGGCCTTCTGCAGTCCTTCCTAGCAAGCTTTCAGTTTGTTTGGTAATGGGATGTCAAGGCTAGCTGCAACCATTGCAACTGCAGGGTGTGTTACTTTGATAACAGGGGAGGGAGTGGCACAGGTATCTGCCTGCCAGTATGCCTGGTTTCTGGCACAAGTCCAACTGACAAGCCTGGAGTCTGACCTCAGGCCTCACTGTACAGAGGCTGCTCTCACAGTATTTATTCAGTGAAAAAATATTGGCAGATTTAAAATAATGATCAATTACAAAATTACTATAAGCACAATAGCTGACTATACCCCTCCATTTTGGGTAGGGAAGACATTTAATCTCATATTGACTGTGCTAAAAGTGGCAATTACCTTACTGTCGTAAGGTAATTGCAGCAAGCCCCAAATCAAACACAAGCAGTCCAAGAAGCACAAAGTAAGTGGAAACAAATCCACGTAATTCTAAAGTCAAGACCAACAAGACCAAACAAGATTAACAAGCCCGAAGGAGATACACCCTGAGAAAAGATCAAACAGTCGCAAGGTAGCAACAACAAGCCCCATGTCAACAAGTCATTATTTACCCCAAAGTCCGAACACAATTTAAGGAACAACAAGTTCCATCGCCATACAGGCCAGGTCAATGAGAATTTCTAGTGCAAAACTAACAGTGCAGTTTTAGTACTACAGATTATTTCTAAACCCAATAAAGTTAAGTGTATCATATTTGATAGATGAGTTTTTGAGACCACTATTTCTCCAGATGCTCCAAATTAGTACAAAGAAATAAGCAAGGGTGACTGTTTACTATTGATATTTGCGGGGGGAGACAGTATTTGAGTTAAAATGTCAAAACTTTGAAAGAGCTAATTTTTTTATATACTTAAAACCAAAGTGGTGCATAGTTGTTCTTTTAATACATAAATATGTTTTAAGATTGGGTTTTTCTTGGGGCACAGATGACAGAAGGATGGCCATGAAATAATCCGTCAGAGAGCTGAAAACACTCATGTTAACACAATGAAGGCAGGATCGAAAACATTCATGTTGTTACTACAGAGATTAGCTCACTGTGGAAGATGGCTTACATATATAGAAGGTGGAGCCTTCTATGAATAAGCTGTAATATCTCCATGTTTTACAACTTGTATATACACATGGGGAAAAAACTGTTTTGTCCTTTTCTTGTTTTCTGTTGTCTGAGTGCAGCTGAAAACCTGCTGGAGGTGAAATGAAGGTGGTGATTCTTACCTTTCTTCACCTTCTTCTGCAGTTTGATGGTGTCTGAAGATTTCTTCTTGATGTCTGCTCTGGCCTTCTTGTACTCTGAACCACAGGAAAAAGCAGAAAGTGAGGAAGCTTTTGTCTTTGCCTAAGTGTCTGTGAGTGCGTGCTAGCCTGTTGACATACCTTTGGCGTGGTCTTTATCCAGCTGACTGGCCACTTTTTTCCACTCCTCCATTTTCAACTCAAGAGGTGTGATGAGACCTTCTGAGAGGGACCTGAGGGCAAAAAGAGATATAGACTCACTTTCTAAAACACTGTGCCGAAACATTTTTTAAAAAATAATTAACACTGTAAATCAAAAGAGCACTTTAGTGAAGTTCCAATAAGGGCCTAAGGGTACATCTTTCGCCATCTTACAATGCTGTGACTGCAGCCATTCCCCAACTACCTGTGAATGGTACTCATGGTCTTTGATCAGTGGGTTTTGGTCAGTGGTTGTTGATCAATGGTCATGAGAATTTGCATAATTATGATTAAGGAACTGACCTCCCAGCCCTTTGTTCCTTCAGTGGGCTGTTTTCAGTCATTATGCAAATGTACTCTTTATAAGATTTGGGAAAACCTGCAGTCAGCTGAGACTGAAGAAGTCACTTGGATGAGTGACGAAACGTTTCTTCCACAAAACGCTACGTCCAGATGAACAGAATCAACTTTTGGAGATTTACTTTCCTGGATGATTGAGAATGAATCAAGATACTTATAAATTGACTCTTGTCCATCCGTTTACAGTAACTAAAGGAATAGTAAACAAAACTTTAATTACATGTTGACCAGTGCTCTATCAATTTTAAAAATACCAGCAATTGTAGGTTCTACTACTCAGCCTCCTAGTAGATACACCTATGGTATCAATTTTAAAATCCTACATCATCTTGTTCTTGAGTTAGCGCATTCATAAGGTTTTCAGAAAACGTAACCTCTAACCAGAGGTCAGTCGAGGTCAGAAGTCACTGAGATCCAAAATGTTTAGTAGATGCACCCATGGTATCAATTTGAAGCGCCCATATCATCTTGTTCTTGAGTTATCGCATTCACAAACTCAGTGTGAGAATTCAATGCTTTTATACGCTCATGTTACTGTGGATATCTGGAGGAGAGAAACGGCACCAAACGTCTTTGTGATGAAACTGTATCAATCTTTACTGATTTACTCTTTATTTACTCATGGTTCACACATTTTATTGAGTAAGACTGGCAACAAGTCATCAATTAAAACCTTAAAATCAATTCTAAAATTGCATGGTAATAAGAATGATAGGAATAAGCTGTACTTTATTGTAGACTTACATGACAACTTTCAAAATAAAAGAGGAAATAAAAGCATCCATGACCATCTCTAGATTTCCTTTTTGTATAAAACTGAGCTGACCTTACTGAGTCTCCGGAGCTGCCTAAAACATGACTAAACATCTGAGCTGACAAGCTTTTTGTGACTGAAGTGATCAAAAATGACACCAAGGTTTTTACAATACGGCCCCATATTTAGTGAATGAGAGCCCAAATGTGTTTTGGTATCTGTGTTAGGTGCTTCCATTGTACTGTTTTTCATAATTTAAACAAACTGGCCACACCCTACAAAAGCAGTTTACAACAAACAATCTGAATAGTAACTTTAATCTAGACTTCTTTTTCTTCAAATGAGTGGTTCAAATAACTGAACTGGGAATCTGTGCCTGCGTGCACTTGATGCTAAATTATGTGCTGCTGCTGTGTCTTTACTATGAAGCTGCTGAGTTAAATATTAAATAAGGCTGTAAAACCACAACTTTATTACTCAGTAAGGGACAGAATAATTTAACCTGAGCATTACCTCAGCAGGCTGGAAAGAGACAACTTTACAATTTAATAATGCAGCTGTTATAGCAGATATCTGCTACCTTTAAATAAGATGTTTTCTTTAACATTCTCATTTATATAGATGAAAGAAGATGGAAGAACAAAACTTGTAGGGGACTCCAGACAGGCAGCACAGGTACACCTAATAATGTGGCTTCTGAGTGCATGTGCCGTGATCCGCATGAGACACAATATATGCGTCACTGACTGACACCTCTGCTAATGACAGCAGACAGTAATGACAGGACAGCTGTAATGTTGCAGTGACAGTGATAATGGGTGAAATCAGGATAGCATACAAGTCCAGCTTTCTCACATTCTCACACACACACACACACACACACACAGTTGGTGTTAACATATGTCTGTTGGAAATAATTACCCAATTCCCACACTGCCTGATAAATGGTGTCACCGCACCATCATTCAAACCTTCACCTGCCTTACCTCCTTCCTACATAAAGATTATATTCAAAGCTGTGTGTGAGTGGAGGGTGAGAATTAGTGTCTTACGTGGTAAACAGCTTAAGTTTGGACTCGATGCTCCGGTGTCTCATACACATCCTGGTTAGCGCTGAGCCTATCTCCTTGGTGGCACCTGGAACAATCAGAAAATAACTTATTTTTAAAAAGAAAAAAAAAAATCAGAATAGAGTTCATTTTAAAGTGCTCACAAAATTTAATAATAAAATGTAAATAAATTACATTACGGTATATAGCTTATATAGTTGTTTTCTATGAGATTAACTGTACAAATGGATACAGAGAACCACAGGAGTTATCAGTCACGGCTCTATTGATCTATAATTCCTAACAAGTGTTAGTGTTGTTTTTTTAAGGGTCCAACACTGCTGATCAAAAAACACAAGAGGAGAAGAGCAATCTTCCTTTCAGGACATGATTCCTGCACCAAGGAATTCTTTTCCTTTTTTTTAATCCACATAAAAACAAAAAGCTTCAACCAGACCTGACGGAAAATGAATTAAAATAACACAGAACAACATGTTTTTACAGTTTTTAATAAAAACAGTAAAGATATCTTCACCCAAGCATTTATTAATTTCTTTTTTTAATCTGAGAAATACTACTTTGTGTGAGAAGCACAGTCAGTGGCTTTACTGCCTGGGACTGATCATTGTTACGGATGGAGTCCACCCCCACGCTTAAGTTTCCTGTCCGAGTCAGGAAAAAACCATCTTAGCTAACTAGCTAGTCCAGCTCTGTGGTCTTCAAACATTTTTGTGCAGAGGCTGATCATTAAGGAAAACCAGGATTTGCCAGTAATGCAAAAAATCTGTGTGTTCATCAATACGCACACCTGTTGCTATGCATGCTCTTAGCATGAATTAAATAAATTGACATGTAATCCACATTATTAGAGAGATTTGGTTGGATTTTGTTGGTATTTGCTGACTGTATATTTGTGAAAGACATCAAAGGAGCTGCTGAAAGGCCAGACATAAGACAGAGTCAACACCTCTGTCAGTTTAAAAGGAGCTCTTATCACTGCGATTTTACCCAGATGACTATCATCAATGTGGCGACTCTTATTTATTTATTTTTTTAAAGCTTTTTGCTGCTGCTGCTGAAAAACCAGTGAAGGAAATCTAGATCATAACCTAGATCATTATGAGCAGATGACAGGATATCTGTCAGCTTTTTGTATAACACACCACCTTAAACTTTCTATACTTCAAAACAACGTAAGGGCTCCAAAAATCTAAAGGTTTCTGAGCTCGGCTGATCTAAACGATATCTCTACATGGAACTAAACAGAATTTCCACATCATGATTTTGAGTGTCTGGCAACCCTTGCAGCAGCAATTTATGTCTGATTGTCCAGATTTATATTAACATACGTAGTGAAGACATAGAAGGACTTTGACAAGCGGTATTAAGTGTATTTATGTTTCGCCAGTAGAGCTGAATTTGCTCACTAAGTTGCAGTCATGACAACAGACAAAAACTAATCAATGAAAATTATCAACAAAATCGAACATGTCATAAAAAAGCTAAATGAAGTTTAAAAAGTCTAGTAAAGAGCTTGAAACATACAAATGCTAAATAAAATAAAAATGGTGAATAGAGTAAAACTGTAGTAGAAAAAAATTCTGAGATGAGTAAATGAGTTGTTGCTCGTAGCCTGCATGATCTGTAAAACACAAAAACAGGAGCTGAACTGAAGCTCTTGAACATTGTAGCAGTTTGTGTGAGGTTGTTGCTTCATTAAAGGCTATTTGGAAATCAATCGGATTAAAATCTTGTGACGAGTGGTGTAATGTGTGTTGAAATAATAGGTGTGTGTCTCATTTTGTTAAAAAATTATGTAAGAAAGACACCACCTCCTTTAATAACCAGTTTGGGTTTATATGATGTTACAATGTTAGCTTCATGCTGAAATGCCCACAAAAGCATGACAAATGCAAACACAGCCAGGACACATTTAAACACACTGACTAATACACATTTGATAATGAGCTTGTGTGCACATCAGGAGGTTAGCTCTCTCAGTCTCTTTCTCCATCTTTATATCATTTATAAAAGGTATTCCCCATTTTGCTCCCACTTTAAAGAACAATGATCTGAGTGGGTGAAAGCCCAGAGCTGTGATTTTTTCATGTTATGAATCAAGACATCATATTTGAACACATCCATTACAATCTCCAAACCAGAAATAGAGAGAAGTGTTTGCATCTGTTAGTTTGATTGTATATTTAGGCTTGATGTAACACTATGTTTGCAGTAGGGATAAATACCAGAATAAATACCAATAGATGCCAAAATACTGAAAAGGCAGTGGTACTCGTTTTTCTTTGTTACCATAGTACCAGATGTACTGAGGTGACAGTTCTTCTAGAAATGAAACAGGCAGCGTACAGCTACAAGTGTTGTCGTCCAACTTTACTTGACGAAAAATAAAAAGATACCCCACAAGAACAGTAAAAAGTACACGTAGAAAATGGTGATTGGTGCAGCTGCCACGACAGCTCTGCTGCGACACACTGATAAAATTGATAAGGAAGGTTGAGCTGGCTAGGGAAGTAATTTGCATTTGAGGGGGAATGACCAAAGGGGTGAAACTGATTTGCAAAAGGAAATATGCAAATGATTTTATCGTGTATTTTGGATCAAGGGAGGAAATACTTACAATTTAGCAAAGCACCTAAAAGACCGACATCCAATATATATGTTTTCCTGAAAAACATGTTATCATTTTGTTTGAGACAGCTGGCACTGCCGCTGTGAAATCAACTCTGCTCCAAAGGCTAAATGTTTGCAATGCCTAGTATTAAATGCTTATGATAATGTAATGCAACTATAATATTAGCAATCTTCAAGACAACTATCCTAATATTTCCATTAAAGCCTCTCCAACAAAATGTAATTAAAGATCTGCCACTGCGTCTATGTTTTAAAACAAGCTTTTAATAAAGGAGTTTTGTATGTGGGATGATCACTTTGTTTTGGTATCAAGTTGAGTGTCATGATTGAGGATCATGTAATTCTAGTGGAATTGATACGGACTACAAAATTTCTGGTGTTGAGACATCCCTAGTTTGGAGAGACTTTTTTTTCCCACCGGGATTGTTTTCGTCAGTAAAATGGTGAGGTCTGTGGGGACGCCACGGTGAGCCAATTTACACACAAAAACCAGACTAAAAGAGTTAGAACTACAGGCCCAAAAAAGAAAAAAAAGTGAGGAGAAAAACCCACACAATTCAGGCAAGTTTTATGATTTAATAACATTTTAGCTGATCAGCTGAAATTAATTCAGTAGCCTAATGGTCACTAATTACAGTAGGCCTATTCATTCAAGGTTAAAAAACAAACAACAAACAAAGCTCTCCTGCTGATATAGCTTCCTTTCCTTTCCTTTGTAAAGTAAGTAGGAAATAAAGTTCTCAGTGTGTGTCCATCTCTCTGTGGTTACACATTTTGCTTTTAGGCCACCCAGGACGCAGTATGAAAGATGGATAGCACTGCCATTAGTGCAGTTTGATGGCATCTCTTGTCCAACTCTGGCAGCTATTTGTGTATTTCAGCAGGGATGACAGAATGACTAGACAATGAAGAAGCTTACGTAACCTTAGGACCACTTCAGAACATTTTAATAACACCATAGAAAACGCGTGAACGTAACACATCAAGTCAGTGTAACAGGACCAGTTTCTGTACCAAGTGTTTCTTAGTACAGAAATTACATGAGTGTTTAAGAAACCAGCTTGAGATGATATGAGTGTTGTGGTATCCTGTTCAAAGCTGCCATTAAGAGATGAGTTCACTGTGGTCATATAGGGACAGACATGGTCAGCAACAACACTGTGAAAGGCTATGATGACTAAATCTTGCTCAGCTGCCACCATGAGGCTAAAAACCACAGCAGCATGAGATGTTAATGCAATCATGACAGGTACCATTATTTACTGTTTACACCAAATTGTGACGCTGTCATCTAAATGATACAGCAAAAATGTATACAGAGATGCTTATATGCATATGCTTGTATTATTAAAAGGAATATCTAAGGTTCATCCAGGTTGCACTGTGTTGAGCCTATTGATATCTATCATACATGCCCAGTTTTTTTACAGTCTGTATTGTTTCTTAAGACTTTCTGTAACTGTATTATGGAGAGATAGGTAGATATCTATAGATAGATATACATGTCAGATATGTGAAGCCTAAAGGTGAGTATGCATTCAATTCCTTGTGGATGAGCAGTTTCTGAAAAAGACACTCATGCTGTTTCAACTACCTTTCCCAATGCTACACATTATCTCCAGCAGTAGTCTTGCCCATGTCTACATTCTTTAAAGCAGTGAGATTCTGCCACGTGACTAGCCGATTAGGTATTTGCTATAAAGAGCAGTTGGGCATAAAGTGGCTGGTGGGTGTATGGGACCTTTATTCAGATTTGTTCCACATTTCGGAGGTCACATAAATGTTGAGGCAGAAGAACTAGAGTGGGGACAGAAATGCCTCTTCATTTCAACAGTGAGCCCTCTGTCGTCCTCTGCTCATCATAAAGGTTTCTTTGTGTGACTCAGTGTGTCTGTGGACACAACACTTCCTGTTAAACTGTTAATGTTTTAGCGTCTGAGACAAACAAACAGAACCGTTACTTCCACAACCCGTTTTCCTTTTGTTATGTTTTGTTTGTGTTTTTGTACAACAAAAATGACAACTTTTGACAAAGCAATCCTGTTAGTTCATTCAAATTTTAAAAAAAAAACAAAAAAAAAAACAAAAAAAACAAACAAAGGCAGTGGTCGGTTAATCATCCTTTTCCATCCACCTACTTTCTTAACTGTTTATTCGATTAACTTAAGATCCCTGGGTCTATCTTATTTCTCAAAGAACAAGAGGCTGGGTATACCCTGGATGAGTCGGCAATATACTATATGACCCAGAGTCAGGCATACAACAATTTACATTCTGACCAACAGGATTCATCAATAAACCGGACCTAACATGTATGTCTGGAACCTGGAGTACTCAATGAAAACTGGATATAAATTCATTTGAAGAACTGAAAAGTGCCTTTCCAAGCTATTTGCAGCAGCTGATTAGAAGTGCTAAACAGTTGATAAGAAGTCT